TTGTTCACCCACCGTAGAATACTTATGCTCTTGAGAGAAGCCACTAGTGAAACCTACCCCTGGTCTATTCTCATCATATCAATCTCCATCACTTTAATCTTGCTTTGCTTTTTTACTTTGCCTTTTACTTTTAACTTTGCATCTCTATACCGAAAATACTATCTATCAGATCTCACTCTCGTAAGTGACCGTGAAGGGATTGACAACCCCTAATCGCGTTGGTTGCGTTGAGCTATTTGTGTTGTGTAGATACGAGGGACTTGCGCGTGGCCTCCTACTGGATTGATACCTTGGTTCTCAAAAACTGAGGGAAATACTTACGCTACTCTGCTGCATCATCCTCTCCTCTTCGGGGAAATCCAACACAAGCTCAAGAGGTAGCAGACCCTTTCGGATGGGAGACGCCTAAGTTACGCCACTTGACTTGAGAATGAAATCTAGTGACATGAAAAAATGGAGGAGATGGACTTGTAGCTCACCCTCGGCTGTAGGGGAAGGAGTTGAACAACAGAAGGATGCTCACAGACCAACGCGTCGGACGACGGTCACTTTGATGAAATGCAACACCACAAAGCCTGCAAATTCCACCAAAAGAACAACTTAGTCAAAAAAATCATTATGAACAATTTTATCTTCAGTTATTTTATCAACATCATTATGAGTATCAAAAAAATTAGCAACATCATAACATCTCAGGCAAGTGTCAAAATTTTGTCCAACATCCATCCATCCATTTTTCGATCATTAACTTGACCAACGTCCATTCATCAACATGACCTAACATTAAATTTATGACAAACAAAGTTTCTAAAAAAATTCACCGACATTCCATCCATCCACCATCTATGATTCTAACAACATCCGTGCATCCATCTAACAAAAATTAATCCATAGATCCATCCACCTAAAAACACTAGCAAGAAAAAAGAAAAAACATACAGAAATAATATATTTATCTATCTATCTATCCATCCATTCATCTATTTATCTAACTATCTAACTATCTATCTATTTATCTAACTATCTAACTACAAAAACAATAGCAAAAAAACAGTTGCGAAACGAGGGGGGAGCGGCAGGTTAGCGGGGGAGCTCACCGAGGGGGGCAGTACGG